GGATATCGGAATGGACTGCGTCATTGGGTGGGGAGGCAAGAACGCAATTTTGGTTCACCATAATGTATGCAAAAGCGAAGAAAGACGCTGTCAACCACGCCAACCAGGAAGGGCTGAAGTTAAGTGTTTTCAAGGCATTACATACTCTCAACGAATTGATGTAATCAGGGGAATGAAATCAAACTGTGTGCAACAGCACATGAAGCTGCTGAACTTGTGTCATTATGTGTGTTCTGACATTGTTGAGAAATAGCGATGGACTTTGTTAATCACTGTAATCTTTTTAAGCAGATTCTCCCCAATCGCAGCAGATTTGGTTCCAGCCAACCTGGATGTGGTCCAGATCTACAGATCCAACGAGCAAGGTGGTCCTGGAAAACAGGTTGTCTGTTCTTATGCTCAGGATTCAGTTGTTCATAAGTCACCAGAATGATGATCGTTTATGTGTAGACACGCAGATTTAGAGGATAGTTATCGGACAGTGTTTCACTTGATTTAACGTTAAGAGATAATCAGTCACTGGGCCAACCATTGTTCCAAAATGACTCAGAATCGCGCCGAACAGCTTTGGTCTTGAACTTGGTAGGAAGTGCTGACCCATTGACGGGTTCATGGGTACAATTCGCAGATCGATCCAGGTGCCTCGCGTACTGATGGTCGTTGAATCTATAACGTTAGAAAAACTGATTTCTGAATGTCGTAAATCTTTACAGCCCAGAGCTCAGTATACTGCTTGTCGAACCTATTTGTTGAGGGGTGGTTTTTAAAGATTACGTCTTCAGGTAGGAACAAACAGGGTTGGTTTTGGTCAATTTCATGACTCAGAGTAATAAAAATATAGATGTGATGATAATGAATTCAGACATGAGGAAAAAATGTAAGATCCTTGACTGAGCTGATGGCTGTCGGTCAGCTGTGAACTCGATGGTGGAGAGGGAAGCTCCGTTGGAGGGTCGCGTCTATGCTCCCTGATGTCCTTGCTCTTCAGTCGGCGCCTGGGCGCTCCAGTACAGGAGAGCATATAGATGCTTCCAGGCTCGAATGTTTGCTCCTGTTCTGCGCCGGCTTCTGGCCCTGAAGGCCTCGGAGCAGGACACGGGAACAGCAAGTCCCCGGGTCTTCAAGTTCGATAAACAGGACAGAGTGCTTCCAGTTCAGTCAGTCCCTACTAAAACATACAGACGTGTCCGAGGTACCTTATAACAGCAGAGTGTAAAGAGGCGGCAAGTGTTCAGCCGGAACAGACGCAGAGTAGCAGCAAGAACAACTGCTGCTGGATGAAGGAAGTGATGAATGGAGGAATGATGAATCTGGGATGGCAAAACACGCATGGGCACATCATACGATGCATAAGGACGGTTTTCTCCGCGATAAGCTCTGTTCATGGAACTGTTATCTCTGACACACAGTCCTGTTCTGCTCTATGCCTGGCCGGATGGGATTCTACCAGTCAATCATCGGGGAAACAATAGTAATGTGATCAAACACATGTATGATTCTATAGGTTTTGTCTGGTCGCGTTAATCTTCATTCCATCTGCTATTGAAATGTTTATATTTTCATGAATATTCTGTGTAGCCCATGCTAATATTGTATTGTATGTATGATCTAGTTTATTCGTTTGATGGTAATTTCAGGTGTTAACTCACATTGAAAGTGTGGAATTACTCGCAAAAAATCTAAAATCTGACCAATATATTGTGGTATGTATTGGTATATATATGTGTGTAAATGTAATATATTATATTGTTTCGTCTTTTATACGTTACTTCTGTGGTGTATCTCTCTCTGTCTCTACGCTGTCTCTGGCTCATAGTATGTGTTGTCGAATTAATAATCTCATTTTTATATGTAATCTTTCTTAGACGTTTTGTCTGATGCATGCAAAGAAATTCTTCCAAGTGCTAGTCCATCGTAGGGCGGCCTCATAGCAGTGGCTCAACCTGTACTTCGAAAGCAGCAGCTCAGATTCCTAAACGGGAATTAGAAACACCGCCTCATTTGACCTCTACCCACTCGCTATGGCCAGACTTGAGGTAGAAGTGCATTCACAAAAAGAAAAAGATGACTTTTGTACGTGTGGTTTCTGTGGACGGTTCACATGGATTTCACAGCTGACACACAGCCATCAGCTCAGTCAAGGATTTTACATTTTTATCCTCATGTTGGCTGGAATTATTATATCACATTATATTTTTATTACTCTGAGCATGAAAAGACCAAAACCAACCCTGTTTGTTCCTATTGAAGACGTAACTCTTTAAAAACACCAGACGTGCAGATGTGTGAAGGCCAGTGACAAAGTAAAAGAAAAAATACATGAAAAGTTGGTCCTGATAGAAAAATATGCTCACTGTCAGTCAAAATGAATACATACCAAAATGTAGTTTTATCTCAAAATTTTGCTTTTTTGTTTCAGTATTTTGACTTGTATATCATCTTATTATTTATCTTTATCTATTATCTTTTTATGTCATAACTTTGACTTATTATCTAATATTTGTAATTTACTAAATCACAATTCTGACTTTAAAAGTTACATTTTTGACTTTTTATCTGATAATTTTGACTTATCATGAACATTTAACATTTTTTAAATCATGAAAAAATAAAAAACATTTCTTCCACACTGATGTCCTTTGTTTGACACTTTGCTCCCACAAACACTATCAATTTAACATCCTAAGATTTTATTGATTTGTAAGTTGACGACCAGCAGATGACGCTGGTTTAACATTAACTGCGTGTTGTGCGCAGTTTGTGTGCAGCAGTGAAGTCCTTGAACGCAACACAGCGTCATAATACAGAGGAAATCCACCCTAAAACTGCTTTTACTGTGTTAATCTGTCGATATTTTACTGTATCCACCACTAATAAAGACATATGTTTCCCTAAAGTGGAAATCAGAATATAATAGTTGAATATTTGACACCTTTTCAAGCTGCTCCACTAAATTAAACACTTTTCTTTTAGAGATTTTACATTCTTTGAACCAAAAATATGTGCATGAAATAAAATATTCTGTATCATAATAATCGCACCAGTATTAAGGTATCAAGTTAAAACCTGAGGCACTCACATGATGATGGATTCATTTTGATATTTAGGGTGTATTGTGCTTTAATTGCCCCGCTGAGAGGAGCCAGCACAGACCATCAGCCAGCAGAGGAGACTGTCGGCCTCAGCAGCTCACATCCGCGGGCATAATGGACCGATAAACATCAGTGTTTGGGGCGATGTTCAGGTACAGAATGCATTGTTATTTATTTATCTGTCAGTCTGTGTTGGAAAAACCAGTGAAACTAAATAAATCAGCCGATAAATCGATCATTTTGTGGCTGATCGTTTGGTTCACGGCTGGTTTGCACACCCAGTTTTGACAGCTGAGCTCAGCATCATGTTTCTGCCTCCTGTTTCTGTGTTTAATGTCACAATTCAACACAGATTATTGCACATTAGAGGTTTTCTGTATTTATTAATCTGATGTTTGACGTTTTGGTTGTTTTTTAATACTAGATTACTATATGATGAGTGTCAGTATTCAACAGGGTTATTTCTCCTTTGGATTAAATCTCTGAGTAGGTTGTGGAATTAGATCAGTTTATAATGTATTATGGTGACTTTAGGCTCTGTAACACATTCAGGACCTCCCTTTTTAAAATCACATAATATATTCATTTATTATAAATCACAGTTAACAAGGAGCTCATGAACTTAAAGTCTTTTCTTTTTAAATTGTGTTTTTTTTAATTAAAGATTCATACCAGGTGTCTCATTATGATGCTGTCAAAATGGCTGGTG